GCCAAGGGTTCAACCGGCAATCAGGAAGCAACGCGAGGTGAAATTGTACCTTGGACATCAGCTGCTGTGGCAACCGGATGGGAATTCTTAAACTGAATTTAACGCCAACATTCTGGGCAAGCTTTCAAGGTAGTTGAGAACTTGTCCGGGACTCTTTTGCTGCACATGGATGTGTATGTATATATTTTACCAAGTGGTGTCGTAATGTAGCCATGCGCAATGCAGCAACGATAATATGTCGAACGCTGCAGCTTTCGCTTAAGCAACTTTACCCCCCACCAGCCACAATGTGGCTGGGGGGAGAGAACAGGGAGAAGTGGTACAAGCATCGCTTCCGAGCCGGCCAGGTCGAGGGCTCGGTGACACTGGCAAGGCTCAGGGGACGGTGGCGGAAGTAGTTGACCCAGTGTCCACTGACGCCAAGGGACACTGGTTCAAGGGGCGCTACATCTTGGCCAGCGATGGTCACCTACGATGGTGGTTCAAGAAGGAGAAGGCCGAGGATTGGCAGCGCTCTGCAAGTACCACTGTTGTGATGGCAACTCAAGGGATTCCCCTGAGCTCAAGAGCAACAAGGCGATTCATCTGGAACTCTTCAGGCCTCTTGGCCCCAAGGAGCTGGGCGCCAAGGTCCCTGCCTGCACTTTTGGGCGGACCTGCGGCAAGGCTACGCAGGGATACCTCAAGGAGAAGGGCTTGGACACAAAGGCTGTGGCTTCGGGAGCTGACTTACCCTGGGTTGAGCCAGGTGATGGTGGATGAGGCACGTGATGCGGTGCGAGCCATTGAAAAGCGCCTGAACAAAGGCAAAGATGACAAGAAACGAGCCAAGAAGCCAGATGGAGGTGAGGACAAGCGCAAAAAGAACAAAGAGCGCAAGAGAAAGGAGTCACCCACCTCGAGTGGAGAAAGACGGGCCAAGATCGAGGAGGAGAAGGAGGTGCACACAAAGGGCAACCATCTCCATGAGAAGACGGCGTAGCCTGCAGTATGCCGGCCACCCGCGCACCTTGCAAGCCTATCGGCAGGCCTTGGATCATTTCCTTAGGCACATTCGCCACCGACATTTGTCCCTCATGCTTAGATCGCCAGCTGGCCGAATTCATTGATGTTTCATACCAGGAGGGTGAGCCCATGAGTTATGCAGGCCACCTCCTGTCGGCTATATCTAAAGGTTTCACCCAGAACGTCGTCTGGAGTTGCCACGGAGCAGCCAGTATTTCCGTAACTGGCAGCGGTGCTATGTCCGGGCCAGAGCTGTCCCCGCTTCTTGGGAGTTGGTGCAGAGCCTGATGGGCCTAACGTGGAGCCAGGGGTACTGACCGCCATTGGGTTCAACTGCTTGCTCCGGACAAGTGGGATGCTTGGGCTTACCCACCAGCATGTGGTGTTTCATCCCCAGGGCAACGGGATGAGCATCATCTTGCCGGGCAGCAAGACGTCCTAAGGCAACCCTCAGGTCATTTTGGTCACCGATGCCCGGCTCATCGAGTTTGCCCGCGAGGTGGTTACTGCTTATCTTTGGCCTCATGGGGCTCATCAGTTCAGGCACCTCTTTGCAGCGCTTTTGCAACTGCTTGGTTTCTCAGCGGATTCCTACACGCCTTATTGCCTTCGTCGGGGAGGCGCTACATGGCACTTTCAGTCGTCCCTTTTATTTCAGTATCCCGGGGTCGATGGTCCTGCCCGCGTACGGCAAGGACTTACATTGATGAGGGAACGGCTCAGTTGGCACATGTGACATGGTCTTCCCGGCAGAGAACTATAAAGTAGAATTCAGGCGTGCAGATCGCACTGTAAAGGCTGCGTCCATGTTTGTGTTTGCAGTCTTGGTTGACGCAGTTGCTGTGTGATCTGCAGGTCGTTTTTGCAGATAGCAGTGGCATTGCTACGTCAAGGTGATGCTTGGACGTTTGAAATCGCACGAAACCGAATGTTTTCTCGGAGAAAGTTCCCGGCATCGATGTGGGAAACCTTATGTTTGTGTGACGGGCGCGGCTTGCGTTCGGGCGCGTCCGCCACTGTAAAATAAAAATCAAGCGTGCAGATCGCACTGCAATTTCTGCGTCCACGTTTGTGATGGCAGTCTTGGTTGACGCAGTTGTTGTGTGATTTGCAGGCCAATGCTTGCAGATCGCAATGGAATTGCCGCGTCAAGGTGATGCTTGGACGTCGGAAATCTCACGAAACCCTATGTCCTATATATGTCGTCTCGCATAAAGTGGCTCTCACATCGACGCCGGGAGCCACTTTATGCGAAAAAACATAGGACATGGGGTTTCGGGTTTCGTGCGTTTTCAAACGTCCAAACATCACCTTGACGCAGCCAGTCCACTGTGATCCGCACGCGCCGCCTTGCAAATCACAATACAACATCATACATCCTATCTCTATTCTCTTCTCATCTCTACCCTCTGCGCACCTCTGCTTTCTGCACATCTCTATACTCTCTTCTCATCTCTATTCTCTCCACATCTCTACTCTATGTAATGTTGTAGTGATTTATTGGTGTGATTATGCCTTGTTGTGGTGATGCATTGTCGTGGTGATGTATTGTTGTGATGATGTATTGTTGTGATAATGTATTGTTTTGATGATGTTTTGTTGTGATGATGTACTGTTGTGATGATGTATTGTTGTGCGGATGTATTGTTGTGGTGGTGTTTTGCTGTGATGGGTGTATTGTTGTCATGGTGTACTGTTATGTTGATGTATTGTTGTGATGATGTATTGTTGTGATGCTGTATTGTTGTGATGAAGTATTGTTGAGATGATGCATTGTTGCGATGATGCTTTGTTGTGATGATGCATTGGTGTGGTGATGTTTTGCTGTGATGATGTATTGTTGTGATGATGTACTGTTGTGATGAAGTATTGTTGCGATGATGCATTGTTGCGACTATGTATTGTTGTTGTGATGATGTTTTGTTGTGGTGATGTTTTGTGATGGTGTATTGTTGTGGTGATGTTTTGGTTTGATGGTGTATTGTTGGGATGATGTATTGGTGTGCAAATGTAATGTTGTGATGATGTTTTGTTGTGATGTTGTATTGTTGTGGTGATGTATTTTTGTGATTGTCCACATTATCCACTTCACAAAATCTTCCGTACAACGGAGTTAGACTTCCAAACTTCCTTTGATAATTTTGTCAATTCATTCTCATTGCGCATCGTTCAAACATTCGGTTCGTGGATATCTGATTTTGGATTCGCTCACATCACACATCTGCCCTGGCCATGCCTAGGTATAAATTCTTCAAGCCGCACGTCGTAACGGCGAGCAATGTGAACGCGCCGCTGGACGGACCCTTGGCTTCGGGGGTGAAACTTCATGGTGGGAAATCTAGGCATAACTGGTAAAATTGGTGGGGATGATCCACTCATGACAAACACCCTTCTGTGACAATGGGTAGCTCAACTTGCAGAAACCAGTGACATGCTTGAAACCGACTGGGAGGCACCTGACCCATTCTTGGATCATCTTGGTACCATCGTTCCACCGATTTCATGGGCTACGAGGCCCGGCGAAGCGCTTCACTTTTGGGTCGATCTTGTCGATCTTCAGTTGTTCATCCACTGAGAAGCTTTGGCCGCTACATATGGCAGCAGCTTGGCGGCAAGACATGGCAAGACTATGGCTGTGCGTGGGTACTATCACTACCTTGTCAAAACGTCTCAAACTTCCATTGGTACCCCCGGTTTTGATCCATACCAGTGTATAAATTGGCGGGGATTTGCCCTTAGGAATCTTGCACGTTCAAGGAGCTCCGCCAGGGCGGAACTTACAGATGGAAAGCCATACCGCATGAAGGGCCTGTAGGAAGGGTTGCGGAGGTGCGTTACTGAACGGAATAAATGAAATCAAATGAAAAGAAATAAGATGAACTAATGAACAATATGAAATGGTGAAATGTGATAAAATGAAACTAAATGAAATAATCGAAGGAAGTTTAGAAGTCAAACTTCCGACAATATGGACAGTGTGAAGTTTCTGCCAGAAACATGAGTGAATCATAGCACAGCATGCAAACGCATGAAACATGGACATGCCCAACCGAAGAGGGAGGGCTCAAGGATCCAATGGCTACGCCTCTTGGAAAATAGGGAGTGACGGCCGCTGACTTCGTGTGCAGTTGCCAAACAAGGAAACAGCCAATTCCTTGAAGTTGGCAGCGGAGCCGCTAAGACGGCATCCGACCCTTTGCTGCTAGGCCATGGCGACCGAGGGTGCCGCGGCTTCTGGAGTGACTGGCATCAATGCGTCGAAGGCCGACTCTCATGTTCCGGTCTTTGACAACAGCGCCAAGAACTACCGTGAATACCGGCGAAGATGTGAAGTCTACCGACAAAAGATGGAGCTGGCAGGACGAGGCAAGGAGACAGTTTTCAACCTTGTGACAATGATGACAGGTAGGTCATGGGATCTAGTGGAAGACTTAGATGTTGAACAGCTGTCAACGGATGGTTTCAACAAAGTTTTTCAAAGGTTGGACCGAGGGTTTCAATTCGACCCCCTGACGGAGCTGCCTGGAGACTTTGAGAGGTTTTTCATCTCTCTGAGCCGTAAGCATGGACAGACACTTCAAGACTATACCCAGGAGTTCACCCATGCAGAGCGGAGACTGAGGACTACACACAAGGTGGACCTGCCCGAGAAGGTGAAAGCTTGGTGCTTCCTTCGTAAGTCAGGCTTGACGAAGGAGCAGAGGCTGATGGTTCTCAGTTCAGTCGGACATGAGAATCTTGGACTGGAACAAGTGCAGAAGACGATGAACTTTGTGATTGGCCAAGACGCCAAACTTGAAGGTGCCCCACGATGGAGCCGATCCAAGGACAACGTGATGTACAATGACGAGACCTACGCTGGATCACCGTGGCCAGAGGAGGACACCTACGACTACAACATTGCCTATGACAACACCTTCTACGAGGACGAGTACGACCAGCAGTGGATCGACTATGACGCCTCCTACTTCGAGGACACCGAGAACGCCCTTGATGAGAGCTATGACACTGACGTGTTCGACGTTGATGAGTATGACTCAGTCTATGCGAGCTTTGTGGAAGCCCGATCAAAGCTGAATCAAGTACGAGTCAACAGAGGTTTCTACCCTGTCGTCGCGCTGGTGGACCAGAGTGGAAAAGGAGGACAGGGACGATCAAAGGGCAAGAGCAAAGGAAAGTCAAAAGGCAAAGGAAAAGGACGTGGTTCATCGCCACCTCAGAAGGGAAGTGCAAAATCCAGAGGAAAGGCTTTCTTTGGAGGAGGTCGACAACTTTGTGTACGATGTGGAGCAGCTGGACATCAAGCCCGAAATTGCCCATCTCAGAGCGACAAGAAGCGCAAGCATGAAGATGGTGAAGAACCCGTGCACATGGTGGAGACCACGACCACGATGGACTACCTCACGGACTTCATGGAGAACATCCCATCTGACGTTGCAGTTCAAGACGGAGGAGCAGCTTCTTTTCTTGGTTCATATGTGCAGATCCGGAAGTACTTGCTCTATCTGGTGGACTTGGGCTACGACGTCAACACTGTGGAGATCTACCGATGCAAGAAAGGGTTCAAGTATGGCAACTCGGAGAAGGAGATTGCCACCACATGCCTGATGTTGCCCATTTTTGCAGGACATCGACGACGTCATGTACTTTGCTACGCTGTTGGTGGAAGCTGTCCGATTCTGATTGGACGACCGCTTTTGGAAAGACTTGGACTGACGGTGGACTACAGCGAGCGCAAGTACAAATGGAAGGGACAACAATGGCAGGATGTTCAACTTGGACCGAAGAACGAGTACTTGGTGAGATTGGCAGAGAACTATGAGGAGCTCATCCACGACGTTCCTGAGGTGCTCATCCCGGAGGACCACGAGGAGCACATTGACTTCACCGTAAAGCTTGACATCGACAAGATCATGCTTGAGGAGCCGGCGGCAGAATCAGAGAGGATTGGACTTGCAGCAGAGACAGATGCTGACAACAGGGACAAGATCACCGACTGTGACCTTACACCTTCACCAGCCTGGTCACCCGATGACTATGGTGACGGAATCAAAGGATATCCAGAGGTTGAGACTACTCCCATCGAAGTGGAGGATGATGAGGACAACGGTGACATGCATGCAGAGGAGCCCAATCGCAATGACAAAGGGATCCCGACAGAATTCATCTACACCTTGCAGGACACGACGGTTGTGAAGAGACTTCGACCGTCGCAGCTGACCAAGATGATTCATTCGGCAGAACAAGATCGAAATCGACTGGACAAGGAACTCAAGAAGGCTGGAATCTTGGGACAAGGAGTGTTTTCACCGCTGAGGAAAGTTTGGGAAGTCTATGTTGGCAGAGGACGAGTTTCAGAATGTCTGAGGAGAAGAGGAGACTGCGAGGTTGAAGTTTTCTCGTATCAGACAGGCTGGGACTTCGACAGACCGAAGGACAGAGCTGCTTTCCTGAAGAGATTGAAAGCAGAGGAGCCTGATGAAGTGCTGATCACGCCAGCATGCAGACTGTGGAGCTCTCTACAAGAGTTGAGTGCGTCCAGAAGCGATGAGGCCAAGAAGGAGCTGATGAGAAAGAGGATGAAGGACCACGACACACACCTGGTCTTCACTTCTGTCGTCTACGAGACCCAGAGGAGATCTGGCCGACACTCAACTACGGAGCATCCATGGTTGAGCAGAGCATGGAAAACGAAGGCCTACAACAGGATGAGAGGCTATGACTGCTATGTGGATCAGTGCTCGTATGGACTCAAGCTTCCTGGTGAACAAGGACAATGGCATCCCGCGAAGAAACCCACGACATTCAGGACAACGAAGAGATCACTCTACAATGGACTTTACCGATGTTGCCCTGGATGTCCCTATCACGTGCCCATCGAAGGCAGTGCCAGAGGTTTTGGAAGCCGATCTGCAATGTCCGAGGACTACCCACCACGACTGGCGAGGAAACTGGCAGATCTACTTGCAGCAGAACCTGCAGAAGAGGACTTCGACCCCATCATGCCTGCGGAGGACGAAGTTGACCTGGACGGCGACGCCATCATGGAGGACTCCAAGGACGTTGTTGAGGTGCAGGACGACAAGGATGACAACATCCAGCTCAACGCCCAACTACGAGCTGAAGTTGGACCTCAAGCCTACAACTATGTGAAGCGCCTGCACAAGTCACTTGGACATCCCCAACCTGCAGTTCTGAAGAAGATGCTGTCTGAAGTTCAGGCAACCGAGAACGTCATCAAGGCTGCGGAGAACTTCAAATGCAACACATGCTATCACAGGAAACCACCATTTTCAGTGCCACCGGCCGCTGGACTTATGGCCAAGAACTTCAACGACCGTGTGATGGCAGATTCAGCATGGATTGACACTGACAACGGCCGCAAATGCGTTGTCACATTCCTGGATCATGCCACCCGCTACGTGTCTATCAGGATTCTGAAGACGGAGCGATCTGAGGAGTTTATCAAAGGCCTGGAACGATCTTGGATCAAAGCCTTTGGAGTCCCTCACATCTTGAGGGTGGATGAAGCAAAAGGATGGTCATCCAAGCTGATCAGAGAGTGGTGTGCCGACCGTGGCATTGCACTTGAAGTTGCCCCAGGAGAAGCTCACAATTGGCTGGCACCAGTGGAGAGGAAGCATCAAGTGGTTCGGAAGGCCTTGGAGCACTATATGCACGACCGTGGCACCTCCGACATCAAGACCTTGGAGGAAGCCTGCATCTATGTGCCTCACCAGATCAACAACATGTCTATGGCGCATGGCTTTTCACCAGCTCAATGGGTGTTTGGACGAACACCTGCTTCCACACACTCCCTCACGGCCGAGCTCTTCAATCCTGGATGTGACGCCATTGACGATGCGACGAAGTTTGCTGAGGTACAGAGGAGACGACTGACAGCACAACAAGCATGGCTGAAGGCAGACTCAGATGCAAAGCTGAGGAGAGCGATGAACAAGATCTTCCACGAGGTAAAGGACGAGGTTGCAATTGGACAACTGGTCTGGTTTTGGAGGAAAGCTGGATCAGGCATTCTGCAGAAGGCGAAGTGGAGAGGCCCAGCCAGAGTAGTGGCAAAGGAGACAAATGAGGATGGTAAGGTTCTCATCCTTTGGCTGACCCACGGAACCAGTCTGGTTCGATGTGCCCCTCATCAAGTACGACCAAAAGTGGAGGAGCAGGGATGCAATGTGGCTGCAGACCCATCGGCCGCGCTCAAAGATCTTCAAGAACTACGAGCTCGGAGCACTACGCAGTTCAAGGACATCACCGATGCCGAGCCCCAAGTTGAAGACATGGCGGACGACCACACTGACTATGAACCCAGTGTCATGGGCGATGATGAGGCTGCAGAGCACATGGCTGCGATGAGAATGCCCCTTCCTGGCATTGTCAGCAACCTGCTGACACATGGAGAAGTTGAAAGAGAAAGGACCCCGAGAAGGCGACGACCCAGCATTGATGAGCCGGAACCTACACCCGGTTCACATCGAGATGATCAAGATGATGACAACAGCGATGGACCTGGAGATGAAGCTGGACCTGGAGGAGATGACACAAAGAGGAAGAAGCAAACGAGCAGAAGAGCCAAGGACAAGCAGAGTAGAGGAGATTCAGGTGCAGCAGGTTCAGGACACCATCAACAAGCTGGAGGAGCCGCTGATGCTGTTGAGGAGACCACAATGTCCGAGGAAGCGATCAATCGACCTGTACATGTACCTGTTCCCAACGACGAGATGGACTACAACGATGGTTTGGTGGTCGAGGACGTCTTCATCACTGAAGCGAGTGACCTTCCAGAAGGATGGATCATTGTGGACAACAACTTTGAGCTTGCAGATGCATGGGTCGTACAGAACCTGCGCAAGAATGAAGCAAGCGAAAAGAAGATGACAAGTGAGGAGAGAGCAATGATGACAGCAGCAAAAGCGAAAGAACTTAGTCAATTCTTTCAGAATGAGGTCTGGGAGTTTGCTGACGACATGACGCCAGGGGACATGAAGAGGACGATCACTGCCAGGTGGGTGCTGACATGGAAGGTTGACGAGGAGACTGGACTTCCAAAAGCAGAGGCCAGACTAGTCCTACGTGGATTTGAGGACCCTGACCTTACAAAGATGAAAACAAACAGTCCCACGGCAGGGAGAACAGCCAGGCAAGTCTTTTTGACCATTGCGGGCACGGGCAACAACACTTGGACTCTGGTTGTTGGAGATGTCACAGCAGCCTTTCTTTCAGGTTCTGGACAAGAGTTCAAAAGGCGGATCATAGCCCGACTTCCAGCAGACTGTGGACCAATCCTAGGAGTGGTTGGACCCTGCTTCATGAAGATGAACAAGAGCGCATATGGACTTTCAGATGCGCCATTGCTGTGGTTCAATGAAGCGTCCAGAAGGCTGAAGAGGATTGACATCCACCCGCAGAAGCTGGACTCATGCTTCTTTGCCTGGTATGACAAACAAGGTGAACTTGGTCTACTACTTCTGTTGCACGTCGACGACATGCTGATTGGCTATGACCCCAACAACGAGAACGCCAAGAAGAAAGTCGACGAGATCAGAGTCACCTTCAACTTTGGCAAGTGGCGAATGCTCAAGGAGAACGAGAAGATTGCCTACTGCGGTGGAGTCTTGCAGTATGACAATGGAGAACTATGCCTGAGTTTTGAGGATTACCTGAAGAAAATCTCTCCCCTGACGATCGACAGAAAGAGGGGAGAACAAGCCATGACTGACAAGGAGGTCTCACGAGCGAGAGGACTCATTGGAGCGTTACAATGGCCTGCTGGACAAGGAGTTCCCCCACTGTGCTCAAGCACATCAATTCTTGCAGGAGAATTGGCCTCCAGAGAGGCGAGGGTGATGAACGAGCTCAACAAGGCACTACGCTTCAGCAAGCAGAACTCCGACGTGCTGCTACGATTTCCGAAGATCACCAACGACTGGCGCAACATCCACTTCCTGGTGTTTTCAGATGCTGCACTAGGAGTACGACAAGATTTGGCGAGTCAAGGTGGCTATCTCATCCTGGCGGTGAACGACAAGGTGATGTCAGGAGAGGTCGGAAAGTACAGCATCATTGGATGGAGGAGCTACAAACTACCAAGGGTATGTCGTAGTTCCCTTGCGGCAGAATCACAAGCATGTGCGACTGCAATCGACGAGCTCTCAATCGTCAAGCTGATCTTTGGTTTGCTACGAGACCCCAACTTGAACATCAAAGACGATGATGCAGCGCGAGGAATGAGGAGCGCAGTCATCATTGACGCCCGTGCACTTTACGACGCAATCCATAAGGAGACATTTCAGTCATCCCTGGACAAGCGTGTGGCGATCGAAACTTTGGTGATTCGAGATGGCTTGAAGTACACCAACTCCGAACTACGTTGGGTATCATCGGAGAGGCAAATGGCTGATGGACTTACAAAACTTGGAGGTAGACAACAGATGAGCGATCTACTACGTGGAGGCTATGTGCAATTGATCTATGATCAATCCTTCACGGCCGCCAAGAAGAAGTCTATGCAGGAACGCAAGGAGATCAACAAGGTAGCGAGAGGAACGGCAGTGGCAATGTACGTTTCTACAATGGTTGCAACACAGGTGACTGGAGCAACTGCTACCCTGGAGGAGGCCAAGGCCCTTGTGGAGTTCAAGGTTGCACGGGAAGTCAAGACGCTTGAGGACCACTTGGACACAGAGATCATCCTGACCCTGGTCTTCGTCATCATGATCCTCCTGATCATGATCTACTTGATTGTCAAGGTCTTCTGTGCAAAGAATGTCCAGTACGAGATCGAAGAGACACAGTATGTGGAGGCTGAAACACAAACAGAGACTGGAGCAGCGACTAACATCGCTACGATATCACATGACGAGCAGATGCAGCTGGGAAGCTACATTGGTGCTTTGGAGGAACAGATTGAGAAATACAAGAATGAGATCCATGACAACCTGGCGGACTATGTGGGTCACATTGACTCCATGGCCATGCGTCACGCCGACGAGACGCGCCATATGATGGTTTGGATCACCCAACATGGTGAACGATGGCACAATCGACCAGACTGCCCAGCAATTGTGAGAAAAGCCCCACGAGCACTGACATTTTGTCAGAAGTGCGGAGAAGGAGAAGAACAACATTCCCCTTCTTTACCGATGTGAAGTTTCTGCCAGAAACATGAGTGAATCATAGCACAGCATGCAAACGCATGAAACATGGACATGCCCAACCGAAGAGGGAGGGCTCAAGGATCCAATGGCTACGCCTCTTGGAAAATAGGGAGTGACGGCCGCTGACTTCGTGTGCAGTTGCCAAACAAGGAAACAGCCAATTCCTTGAAGGACAGATTAAAAGCAGAGATGGGAAGAGTCAGAGAGAAGAGAAGAGTTAGAAGAGAGAAGATCAGAGAAGAGAAAGAGTCAGAAGAAAGAAGATGCAGGTGCGCGAAAAGGTAGGAAAGTCGCGATACACTGTGTTTTTCCAATGATTTGTCGCTCCGGAGGGTCGAAAAGTAGGCTCGCTAAAGCGGCAGGTGCGAAGCCAGCTGGCCAGATGAGAGATAAAAAATTGCACGCCGTTGTGACGCGAAGCACATTTCCAAGTCAAAATGTACAAAACACCACATGTTCGGACCACTTTTGGAAGTTGCGATGTTGAAAAAGTCCACGCCGTTGTGGTGCAAAGCACATTTCGACGTCAAAATGTACAAAACACACCATTCTCGGACCACTTTTGGACGTTGAGATGTCGTTCCGCGTGGCAGGCGCAGGGGATTGTGCGCCTTGTCAAAAGTGAGCAAAAAGTGAGGGATTTGTAGCATTTTCAACTACAACCACCACTACACTACAACTACAACTACACCTAGACTACATTCCACTACACTACACCACATTACACTACACTACAGTCCACTACACTACACTACATTACAATACATTACACTACATTCCACTACACTACATTACACTACACTCCACTAAACTACACTACAACTACTACACTACGCTACACTACACTAACTACAACTACAACAACAATTACAACTACAACTGTACTACATTACACTACGCTATACTACACTACACTAATTACACTACGCTACACTACACTACACTACACTGAATGACACACACTACGCCTGCAACTACAACTACAACTGCAACTACACTACATTACATTACACTACACTAATTACATTACACTAAACTACTCTACATTACACTAACCACAACTACAGCTACAACTACATAAGACTACACTACACTACACTAATTACATTGCACTATCCTACGCTACACTACACCCCACTACACTACACTACACTACACCACACCTCACTACACTACACTCCACTACAGTACACTACACTAAATTACACTACACTACACTACACCACACCCCATTACACTACACTAACTACAACTACAACTACAATACGTTCTCCAACCACCTTTCGGTCCATCAGTGGATTCGCTCTGCCATCCGTGATTCACAACAACCAATCTCTCCTATACGTTTCCTATCTTTGAAACTTCCGCCACCGCCTTGTGCGGTACTACTGGAATAAGATGAAATGAATGTAATGAGATAAGATGAAACGAAGTGAATGAAATGAAATGAGAGGTGAGAGATGAGAGATGAGAAATGAACAGTGATCGAAGGAAGTTTAGAAGTCAAACTTCCGACTGTGTTTTTCCAATGATTTGTGGCTCCGGAGGGTCGAAAAGTAAGCTCGCTAAAGCGGCAGGTGCGAAGCCAGCTGGCCAGATGAGAGATGAAGAATTGCACGCCGTTGTGGCGCGAAACACATTTTCAAGTCAAAATGTACAAAACACCACATGTTCGGACCACTTTTAGGAAGTTGTGATGTCGGAAAAGTGCACGCCGTCGTGGCGCGAAGCACATTTTGAAGTCAAAAGTGTAAAAAACTGACGGGTTCAGAGCACTTTTGGAAGTTGAGATTTCGAAAAAGTGCACGCCGTTGCGGCGCGAAGCACATTTCGAAGTCAAAAGTGCAAAAAACTGAGGGGTACGGGGCACTTTTGGATGTTCAGATGCCGTTTTGCTTGGCAGGCGCAAGGGATTGTGCACCTTGTCAAAAGTGAGCAAAACGTGAGGGTTTTGTAGACATTTGAAGAGGATGTGGAAAGATGCATGTCGCGTGGCAGGCGCAGTACAAGAGACATGTTCATCAGAGATGTTAGGAGGTCAGGGCGCTGATTTCCTGAGAGGGCCTGCATTTTGGAGCATAAGATCTTCAGTTTTGGGAAGATGATTTTGCGTGACAGGTGCAACACTTCGTATGACCTGGCATCACTTTTTCGTGGCAGGCGCAGTACTTTAGACAGGTGGAGTGGAAAAATCGCAAAACGCATTGGTACGAGGCCATCAGCTCTGCACTCAACTTCCCATTTTTGAAGGAAGTCTCGCAGAATTGTTTCGTTTTTGATGCTGTCAAGTTAAAAAATGGAGGAAGTCTCGCAGACTTGTTTCGTTTTTGATGTTGTCAAGTTAGAAAATTGAGGAAGTCTCGCAGATTTGTTTCGTTTTTGATGGTGTCAAGTTCAAAAACTGAGGAACTCTCGCAGAATAGCTTCGTTTTCAAGCTTGCAGATAGACAGATAGATAGATAGACAACTACAACTACAAGTACCACTACACTACTACTACAACTACAAGTACAAATAAACTACGCTACATTACACAACACTAATTAAACTACACTACATTACATCCAATTATACTACACTACACTAAGTACACAACAACAACAACAACAGCAACAGCAACAGCAACAGCAACAACAACAACAACAGCAACAACAGCAACAACAACAACCACAACCACAACCACTACCACTACCACTACTACTACTACTACTACTACTACTTCTACTACTACTACAACTACTGCCACCACCACCACCACCACAGCTACGATTACAATTACAAGTACAGCTACACTACATTACACTACAATACACTAATTAAACTGCAGTACCTTACAGCTACAAATACAAATGCTACTACACTACATTACACTACACTAATTACATTACATTACACTACAACTGCAACTACTACATTGCCCTGCACGACACTACACTACAACTACAACTACACTACTTTACACAACAATACACTAGACTACACTACACTATACCACGCTACAGTACGCAACACCACAGTACACTACAATACACTACACTAATTACACCACACCACAACTACAACTGCAACTGCAACTTCACTACACTAAGTACACTACATTACAAGTACAACTTACAACTACAACTCCACTACACTACAACTACAACTACACCTACGAATACAACTACAACTACAACTGCACTACACCACACTACATCCAGCAGTTGTGGTGAGGTGACCGCTGCAACCATTGCAACCACTCTAGACAACACAACTCCAACCACCTTTCGGTCCATCAGTGGATTCGCTCTGCCATCCGTGAGTCACAACAACCAACCCTTCCTATAGGCTTCCTATTTTTGAAACTTCCGCCACCGCCTTGTGCGGTACTACTGGTATGAAACGAACTGACATGAGATTAAAAGAAACGAAAGGAATGGAAAGGAATGGAATGAATTGAGATGAATTAAACTGAATGAGATGAAAAGAAAGGAAAGGGAAAATTGAATGACATGAAGTGGAGTGCAGTGATGCGAAATGAAACGACATGAGATGAAATAATATGAAATTAAATGAAGTGAAGGGAATGGATAAATGAATGCGCTGATGACCCGTTTTAAAGAGATTTGATAATGACCCGTACCTGCTTGCTATCGATCATTTCAGTTCACCAGTTTTCCAGCTGCTTCTCCAGGCGAAAGCAGAGTACCTTGAAATCGTGCGAATTCTTCTGAAGATGACACTTGGTGTGAGTCCGCAGATAGAGAACCGATGCCCTACTTTGACGATGGTTAATTTTGCGTGTGTGTTTTTCCCGGGGTTCTATACTATAATTTCTGGTCGGCGATTGAAGTTTTTCAAATTGTGTAGCTATAACCCATCATATAAATAGCCGAAGCTGTTTCCAGAAATGTAAAGCAACCCTAAGTAAACCCTTTGAAAGACCAACCCCAAGAAAATGTAAAGCAACCCTAAGTAAACCCTAAACGAACCCTAAGTGAATCTGATACCCCCCAAATAAAGCCTAAATAGATCCTAAATCAACCCGAAATAGATTTGAACCAAATCCTGAATAAATCTTCTACCAACTTCAAAATATACATTCAACCAAACCGAAATTAATCGTAAATAAACCGTAAACCAACCCAAAGTAAACCATGAACCAATCCTAAATATATCCTAAACCAACCCTAGATAGACTTTGAACCAAACCCAAACAAACTCTAAACCAGCCTGAACTAAACCCTAAATCAAGCCTTTGAAAACTGAAAACCATTTCTGCAAACACTGTCCAAGTGACAGTTTTCACTTCCAAAATGCTGCAAATAGTACGGAAAACGGCAAGAACGGGAAATAAAAAAACAAAGGGAAATAATTCCCAAACCAATGCTGGCCCCATTGAAATTACATCTGCCATTGAGAGTTGCACCCAGGCGTGCCGACCCAATGCAGAAAAGCTCTCACGGGCGAACTGCTTTGCAGATGGTGATTGCGAAAGACATGGCTCGCATCAAGGACATGGCAGATGTTTTGGCAAGCTCGAGGTAAGACTGTGGTTTTGGGGGGGGACCTGTCATCCATTCCCTAATTTCACGCTTTCCTCACTTCAGACAGTGTCCCTTCTATGTCATGGTATAGTTGTCATGTTGTTTCCCGGTGCATTCGGCCCTTTCGTTTCATCAGATAGCGCTCTTGGCCTTTGCATGTGGAAAAGCACCTCTATACTTCTCTGGGTGTTTAAGAACATGACCTTTGTATTCTGGACATTTTGTGCGAAGGATGCCCTTGTGGCTCCCCCCGAAAACAACGCATAACTATATATGATAACACTTTTTTTTGTGCACGGACCCTCCACTGAAAATCGGACCCTAGCGCCCAAAAGTAGGTGGCCTTGTCTGAAAGTCATGGGGCAA